AAATCAGAGCTAATATAACATTCGAAACATCGTCATTCTGCCGATAAATAAAGTAAATTTACGCGAAACACATGTTTCAATAAATATACACCAAAATTTTTGTCGGATTTATGTTATGCAATTAACGAGATATAAAATTAATTATCACTATATATTTTCTGATAAATGCGTCGCGATGTCCGCGCGATTCGAAGCCGAATTCGTCCCGCATCTGCCAGGTTTTATCACTAATCGAAATAAATCGAGAATATTGGCAAGTTTACTTCGATACCATGCTACGCGAATCGAATTAATGGCCAATTAAGACGCGATAGATCGTCGGAAAATATGTAATTGAAATACAGTATTTTACGCACAATTGATTTTCAATATACATCCCGTGAAATTTGCGCATTATTAATAAAACGGTCAATATCACATTACTACTCATTATTTAAATCACTCGGCGATCTGCGTATTACTTCGTACTCTTACAATGATGACGAGCAAATTCGATTTCAATGAAAAATTTCAAGAATGCGATATATATCCGAGCTTCGTTAAAGAGACAATTAACGTCAATAAACGCTGTAGTGAAATGAAAATTTATAATTCTCATTCTTTCTCATGCGATTTCTACATGAACTCGAATTAGTCGAGCGAAATAATCGTGCTTCAATAAGTAGCTGTTGCCTCGATACTTATGAGTTGTGTCAATCGCGAGAGTTGATTAAAATCACGCACATTCACTAATAATCTGTACTTGTTCACACGTAAAATAATTGCGTATTCTTAAAGAATAACGCAAAGACGCGTACAACCGCTCAGCTGTCGATCTACTGACTACTGACTCGACCGCGCTAATGTCAATAGGACGAGGCCACGTATCCTATCACACACACACACACTCTCTCTCTCTCTCTCTACACCGCCAAAACAAAAACAATACCGCGCATACCTCAGTGTTGATACCTCGCCCCGATGTTTCGCCCTATTATTAGCATTATGAAACAGACGTCGACAGATCGGCGGATCGGCAGGTATGTTAAATATTTATATTATTCTATTTCTCGCAGCTTTAAATTAATGTCGATAAGATTATCGCATAATTATAAATCGTAATTTATTGACAATCAAATCATTGTTAATTTAACAACGCATTTCTCAGAACAGAATAAAAATTTTCTCTATTATTATTTTTTATTTTGCTTGTTTATGAGTCACGATTTATAGAAAAAAATAATAGAAATAATTGCAGTCGTAATTTATTTATAATCAAATCATTGAATTTAACGACACATTTCTCACGGCATTAAAAACCTTCTCCCTTATTTTTGCTTGTTTATGAGTCCCTATGTATCAAAAAAATGATAGAAATAATTACATGTAAAGCACATGTATGTATGTGTGTTGAATTTATTGTAAATATAAAAAATGCAAAATGAAAAATTTTCTCGATATTATATACATATATGTATGATATTATATATAAAATATATAGAATACATCTCGTGTATAATGTTATATAATATTTATATAATATTTTAACGTATTTTTAAAAATTAATAAGATTCGAAAATTTTATAAAAATTTCAAAGACACAATAAAAGTTCAAAAAATATAACATTTAAATTTTTATTCAAGAAAAATGAGTAAATAATTTGCGACTAACACAGATAAAAAGTATTATTAATTAATTAAAAGTATTATCAATTAATTATTTAGCTAATATTTACAATAAGAAATTAAAAGATGATGTAATATAAGCTGAGCAGGGAAATCAATTTCACTTATAAAAATCAATATATAGCAAATTACAGATTATATAAATATGTTATTTGAGTTTCATTGGTTTTTTAATTCTATTGGATATTAATTCGTGGATCAATTTTAATCACAATTGTACTTCGAAAATTATTATGATTTCAATATTATCATATTATAATTTTCGACTTTCATTTTATCACTGTAGAATATATGAAATTAAAATACTGTGACAATTTTTTATGCGAAACATATACGAATAACAAAAGGTAATGTATTTAAGACGTATATTCAATAAAAATATAATACATAGCGTTATCCGAAAGAATCGGCCATGTATTTTGCAAAAAAAATAATCGTATCCATTTTCTGCCAATTTTATGACACTCTGTATGGTAAAATACAATATAATTCTCACGCGATTGTAGCAGATGTTTTCTCTCTATTCACGTTAAAAATAAAACAATAAACAATCAACGAGATGGAATTCTCCTCGTTAGCCGTGCTATGTTTTGTAGAAACGTCAGCAGGTAAATTTGGACAAATTTACTCAGAGTCGCTCGCAGGAAATAAGATCATTTCGCTCTCGGGAAATAGAAAACGAGACAAGGCAAGAAAGGGAGAAGCGCTGACGATAAATTAAATCTGCTTTTAAGAGTATTTACTTTACCGCTGGAAACGCTCATTAATGTCGATTGTGGGGGGATTCATTCTCATACGTTGCATTCTACACACGTCGCGATGTAGTTTGCCAATAGCGATGCGGTAAACTCTCGAAACCGACTGAGGAAATCAATCCGCATCTCGATCTCACGTAACAAACGAACTGAATTAAACGAACGTGGATCGTATTTACTACAACCGAAAGCGCTTTTATATTTTTGTGGATATAACGAAATGATATCGGAAAAAATGTAAAAGGATAAATTGATAAAGCGAATAAATCGTACAAAATAAATAGCAAATAATCGATCTCTAAAATTAAGATCGTGCGCGGGATAAAAATACAAATTCAACAAAACTGGAGCGACAACGGCAACAAAGGGTTGCCGATGATGCATCATCTATCGGAAGCGTAATTTTCACGTGAACCGCGTCGCGTAGGCATAATATCGGCCATTGTGAATTGTCGCGCGCGAACTTTACCGTACTCTTGTACACGACCATCGACGACGATGATGATAATGCGGAACAAAGCGAGGACAGACATACCGCTGGTCGTAGCATTAGTTTTAGCTCATTGAGAGCCGGAGAGCGATCACTAGGTGACAATTTACGCATCGGCGTTATCTGTCGAGTAGAAGGCAGAGAGAAACATCTGTGTTAATTCATTCGACGACGACGACAAAGTGCTCGCTTTCCAAGGTATACACCCACGATTTACCATTGTATTCGTCAATTAGTCCCATTTGTCGTAGACACCGGGACGTCTATCGATAATAGTCTACGAGGGTCGAATAATTCGTCTTGCTGCAATTGACCGCCCTCGGAGATTACTATCGTTATCTACATATACAGAAGAACTTATAAGGGGAGAAGATATATCTCTTGAATGTTCCTTCTCCTGTTCCTCTCGGATTTGTGTGTATGAAGACACGAGAATGCCTCCTCCAAATATACTCGACTACCGGTGGTTAATTACAGTTATAAGCTCCAAGAGTTAAAGCTGCGCGACTTGACGTATTTCAAGATTTATGCGTCTAAAGATGTAGGAAGAAGGAGAGAGAAAAAGATCTATATATACGCGTTTAGAAACGTTCGCGTGAAAGCTCCCTGTGGAAATACCCAAAAGGTCTAAGGTATCTGTCCCAGGTATTCGAACCCCGACAACTCGCAGAACGCACATTATATATATAATATTATATTATATAATCTGCATCTTACACATTATAGTATAATAGCGTTTGCATAATTTACGAATTCGCTAAACGATTAACAGTTCGGCTCTCTTTCCCCCTGTCTTTCTCTTTCTCGCGAAGCCAACAAGAGATTCGACAGCTTGTGAAGAGATGCAGCGAGTAAATTTACTATATCCTATATTAGATGCGAGCATGATGTAAACTCTCGGTAACGAGAGAGAGAATTCGCGAGAATTTCCAACAACTTCTCCCGCGCCGAAGGCTGCGTCGCGATGCGCGAAACTCTTTCGTTCCAATCAACGAGCGATTTTACGCGCACTTTAATCGCTTAATTGTTCGCAAATAATTGCGTACGAGCCGTTTCTTCAGCTAAACGCAAGCACAATTTCGAAACATTATAAATTTCAGCGGAGCGTGACTACAAATTGGCGCGGTATATTCAAGCAAGATTTTCGAAACAACACACATTTAAATACATTTAAAATATATAGGATAAATAGGATGTTTCTTAATAAATCCGAAGAATTTTAGGAGATGATTCTTTGTCGAAAATTAAGGGAAATTTTTCATATAAACATATATTCCTACACTCTTCCAAAAATGCGAGTAAAAATTAGTTTTTATTTTTTTCTCAAATTTGGAACAAGTTAAAGAAATGAAATTAAGTGGATATTTTCTACTGGTAAAAAAGTTGTTTATTAATATTTTTTCAGGCTCTCGTATTATTAGAAGGGGATGAAACTACCAACCTTTATTCAATTTTTTATTAGAACTTTTTAACGTTTATATGAAAAACTCCTCTTAATTTTCGACAAAGAATCATCTCCTAAAATTTTTCGCACTTATTAAAAAATATTCTGTATATCTACAGTAGTAACTAGAAATCTCTAGAGATTCAGTGTATTAATTATGATGATGTATTAGATATTTTGTAATTATGATGAAAATAATATGGAAACTTTTATAGATTTATCGAATCGCCAAAGTGCAAACGACGAAAGAGATTGATATCTTAATTCTTATCCTATCTAAAATGTGTTTTTCTGTTCGCTTTTTAAATTAAAAAGTGCATTTTTATAAATAGCATGAAACAGATTGCAAGCCGTGTAAAATAAATTTATAATTTGTTATAATATATAAAGCTTTTTTTAGAGAAATTATTATATACGACAAGATTTATTTAAATATGTTACAAATAAATTCAATATAATTCTCAGATTATTTACGAAGTTAACACGTTTTCTTTCAAATGTCAAGATGTACGAAGAATTAGTTTATTAAGATCATAATTCGATTTCATGCCATATATATATATATCGTTTTATTTTCAACTTGAAAACAACGAGTGCTGTATACAGAGAGCTTGCGTCGCGAAACACAAGAAATCGAGCCTCTTACCTTGCAATGGGTGCAGTTGTGGATGACGGAGTATGGCTGGGCGCAATCGTAGCGCGCCAGAACCTCCTCGAACTCGCAATGCAGCCTCGCGGCCAGGGCATCGACAATCAACAGCTTGTCCAGGGTATCGTTGCATGTCCGGCCACCGTTTAGCACCTCGAGCAGGCCGTCCTTGCCCGGCGCCAGGGCGTTGACTACCGCTTGCTCGCAGCAATGCCGCAGACGCAGCTTGCTCACGAACTGATATCGATCCGTTAAGGAAAGATTTGACGTACTCCGACTAGAATCCCCACAGATCTTCTTCTTGTGCGACTCCTCGAGATATAAAAGGCACTGTTCCCGGGCAGTCCGTACGCCCTCCTCCTTCTTTTTCTCTTTGCCAACCCCATCCTCGACCCTTGTTCTCGTCGTTGTCGTCGTCGTCTTCGTCCTCGCGCCGCTGATCCCCGCTCTCTCGATCATATCTTTCTCATCCTTGCATTGCATCGGACAGTACTTAGGCACCTCCGGTGGACCGCAACTACCCTGAAGGTCGGCCGGCGCTGGTCCCGCCAGATCGCAGGCCGACAGCCAAGGATTCAACTGGTTCACCTCCCAGGTGTATATTGTTTTGTCGGGAAGCGCTGACTGAGGCTTCTCTTCTCGATCCGATTGCTCTCGCTTTTCTTTCCTCTCCAGCTGCTGGTATTGCTGTTGCTGCTGCGGCTGGTGATGACGATGATGCTCGTTATCGGTATTATAATCGCTACCCGGAATGTATTGTTGCGATTGCTGGTGCTGGTGTTGGATGGTGACCGTCGACGACGAATACGATGCGTCTGGCGGCGAGGCGTTCCCTCGCTGCGCGGGATTCTTGGTGTGCGCGAGGGTCGGATTCTGCGTGAAGGTCGAGGTAAAGTGAGCCGAGGGACTGGTCGAGCACAGCAGGGGCCACGCCAGAAGATATAGCATAAATAGCAGCAACTTGTAATAACTCCTGCGCGTACGCGGCTTCTCCCCTGTTCCTCCTCCTCTCCTCCTAGTAATTGGCTTTTGGAACCAGGCAGTGTTATCGCTACGTCTCCATCTCTTTTCCTCTCTTCGTCCATGCCTGTCAAACTCCTCGTCCACTGTCGGGTGCTCGCAACCGTAATTATCGATGCGCTCCAACGACGAGGATGGCGATGCCCACCGATGATCACTCTTAGGCACACCATGATTAATCGCATCCACTTCCGCGCAGATGTAGTCCTCGCGAGATGCGTTTTCTTTCGCGTCTCTGCATCTTTGTTCGTTACTCGAAACACTAACACGCGCGTCGTCGTCGTCGTCGTCGTCATTTCCATTTTCGGTATGCTCGTCGCGATCCCCTTCGGGTCCACCGTGAATCCTCTTTCGCTCGAAACGCACTCTTCCTTCGTCGTCACCGTTGTCGTCGTCTCTGTCATCGCTATAGGCAGTGTAAGCAAGCACGTTGACAAAAGAAACGGCCGAGGCAGCCACGTCGGGCCTTTCCTCGGGGATCGGTCCTCCCTCCCGTCTTCTCCGTGCCGTTCCTCTTGCTCTTCGAGCGGAACGCGGGACTCGTCGTTGCAGCGACGGACGGTCGACGCGGAGAATGCGCGTTCGCGCGAGCGGCGCGCCGGCAAGGACGACGCCGTCGTAATCATTCTCGTCCTCGTGATCCTCGTGGCAATCGCGCGTGCGCGCGTGCACCACGCCGCGCGAAGCGGAATCGCGAGGGACGCGAAAGGCAGTGGCAATTCCGGCTTCCTCGTTATCGGGGCCGTCGCGATGTCGGCCGGTTTCCTCGTCGTGGAGTCGCGCGGCGACGACGCTGCGTGTCGGATCGCGAGTCGATCCGGAGAACGATCTGGAGGACGCGGCACGAACGAACGGGGCCGACAACGACGATGATGATGATGACCGCGATAGCTGCCGCTTCTTCTCTTCCCTTTTCCGTTTTTTCGACGTGGGTGGTCCCGTGAGTCCGAACGGATCGAGCCGCATGGGCGCCAGGAGATGATCGGGGACGCTAACGTCCCCGACGTCCCGTTGTCGCGCTCCTCCCCGTCGACGCTCCTCGGCGCGCACGTTCGGAGCCGTACGATGCAACGTGCTTTGCCTTCCTCCACCAACGACCGATCTTGTCGCTGCCGCCTCCTGCTTGTCGGTGTCGCGCACGCCGGCCGACGACGACGATGATGACGATGGTGACACGGACTCGCGGTGGACACGCGGCGTGGATGATCCGTATTGCGGCCGGGCTGCTGCAGGAGGCCCCGCATCGCTGCCACCAAGGCTGAGGCCCGCCTCTCGACACGCTCTTCGTTCCCCGATTCTCGACTCCTCGTGCTTCCGGGACGCCGCTCGCGACGCGGCCTGCAACGTTGCTACCGTTACTTCCGCTATATCCGCTGAGACGCGATGCTCCGGTGCAACGTGACCGATTCCGAGACGACTTCGCTTTCGAATGTTTCCTCGGAGGTATCCCGGAAGAAATACTCGAGAGCCACTCGATAATTCGCGCCAAATCCCTGTCGTTTTTCTTCTCCACCGCGCAGCGACACGCGTCGACGCCTTCCTGGACGGGTAATCGGGTCTCGACGTCTCTCCGCTCTCGATCGGAAAAACCCTCCGTTTCCTCTCTCGCCGTTCGCGTCTCTCGTCTTTGCGGTGGACGAATTCGCGCCACGGTAACCCTCGTCGTCCACTCTGTCCCTTTCTCGGCAAGCGTCCGTTCACCGGAGTATTCCCGCTGTTCGATGATGTCAGCCCCGCTCGTACGTCGCCCGGACCAGGTGCCCAGGTACCTGCCTGAGCGATCCGGGTTGGCGGGGCCCTTAGAAGTTCCCCTGGACCAGCGTACCACGGCCAACCGAGACAGCGATAGTCGCGGCTGCTGCGGTGGTTGCGGCGGCAACGACGACGACACCGGCCGCCGCCGCGAGGAGTTCCCTCGACGGCGACAGCAGCAACAGCAACGCAACGCGCTCGTAGTAATAGTCCACCACCTCCGCTTTCGCTTCTTCTTCCTGCCGCGCCACCTGCACCTTCTCCCGCACCACCACCTCGTGTCGCTCGCCGGTCTCGCGATTTCTCCTCCCCCTGCTGCTGCTGCTGTTGCTGCTGCTGCTGCTGTCCTCGCTGTGCCAGGTGTTGTGCGCCACTTCCGGGTGAGCGCGACGACGCCGGCGGCAGCGGCAGCTCTCGACGCGCGCGACGACGTTGCGTGTATCGAGGACGACCTGATGCGAAAGCACCTGAACAACACCCGCTTCGTCGTCGTCGTAGTCCCCCTGCCGAGGCTCGCGAGCTCCCAGGACGGGGTACCGAGGTTCATGCTGCATCCTGAACTCCCGGCTACGTACCCTCCTCCTCCTCCTCTTCCTTCTCCTAGCACCCCCTGCTGCTGCTTGTCGTCGCCGATGATCACGGCCGGTGGCGGCACGACAGCACGCACCACCACGACGACGACGACGACGACAACGACGACGACGACGACGACGATGACGACGACGGCGACGACGACGACGACGACGACGGCGACGACGGCGACGACGACGACGACGACGATGACGCGGACAAGGGCGGTAGTCTGTCGAATCGCCGCACCCGAGACCTCATTGACATATCCCGGGGCACTACGCGTCGGTAACAACCGATCAAACAACCCGACGCGAACGTCACCCACGGAGAAGCGAAGCGAAACCCGCGCTCACTCGAACCGAGTCGGGAACACGACAACGGTAAATGAACACAAGGCGAGCTTCGGTCACGGCGATGATGTCTCGGTGGTTCTTCGGTGGTGCTGAACGAGGGAGGGAGAAAGAATGAGGTTATGGCGTTTTACCATTCGTATTACCACCACCGCCACCGCCACCCTCTCTCGCGCTTGCCTACACACTCGAGAGAGAACGGGACGACCGATTAACTAACTGCTACGAATGATAAATTCCGCCCGCGAACCGAAGATCGCACGCGGAAAGAAGACGACGATATCACGGCGACGACGACAATCGGCAGACACTAGCGGGTATCTCACGGCCGCGACGAAGATGAGGTATACCAAGGGGGCATTATTAAGAGGACGTCGTCATCGTCATCGTAGCGAGGGTCGACGCGACACTCGCGACGTTGGACGTACGCGCTGGAGGCCACTCCGTGATACTCGGAACTCTGCTGCTGGTACTGCTGATGCTGATGCTGATGCTGGCACCACCGTCGTCGCATCGGCGCATTGTCACCCCCGTGTGTGCCTTGTCGCGGCGCGCCCGACGATTCCACTCTCGTCTCTCGGCGATCAACGGCAGCACGAGCCACCGGAAAATAATGTTCCGGACGGATGATCGTGGTAGATGATGCTCGCGATGTAGCGATGACAGTAACGGGTCGGAGGATTAATGGCACCTCCACTCGTCGAATCGCGTAAATCCAATGTCCCCGATGAATACAACGGAAATTTATCCCTCGCCCTCGTTGATGCGCCTTCTACCTTGGTTCCGTTCCCCTTGATACTTTGCGCAAAGATATCTCTATCTTATCCTTATTCTCTTTTCTCTCTCGATCTCTCTTTACTTCCTCTCAACGCACCTATAATACCATTACGCACACGTGCGGTAGTCTAGACACGCGCGAGCTGTTTCTCCTCGTCCCCGCGATCGGCGACGGGATTACCGATCTGTATCTGTACGATACGTGGTGTTTCGTTATCCCCCTTGTTGCGCGCGAACCTCTCGCAGTATCAATATCTCGCGCTACCCTTTGACGTCAATGATTTATTATCGTGCACTTGGTATGTAAAAGGCGCTCGACGATCGTCGGGGACGATCGCGGGACGATCGAATGCGTCGATCGCGGGCGGGTAAGCGGGAAGGGGGAGCGAGGGTGAAAGGAGGGGATGTTGTTCGCGCGACACGAACGAAAGCTTCGAGAGGGTTACGGCGAATCCACTCTGTTCGCGCCCCCCCGAACGGGGGAGAATAGACCCGCGTCGGGTTGCACGGCGACACGTAGATCCGACGTATCCGGATGTTACCCGAGGTAATAACAAGCGCTCCTTCTCTCTTTCGCTCTCTATCCACCCCCTATATTCCTATATCTCGGCTCTAAAGGACGGCGACGGCGACGGCGACGGCGACAACGGTGGCGGCGGCGGCGGCGACAACGACGACAATTACGATGCCAACGGTCGTACGTCGAGACGGGCCCGGCGATGGAAGAAGGGACGACAGGGAGCACAGCGAGTGAGCGCACCAAGCTATAAGTAGATCACACATACACAACATGTACAACACACCACTCTTGCTTGCTTTGCGATCGAGCGCGCGCGCGCACGTATCGATACGACGACGTTACGAAGAAGAAGAGGAAAGAAGAAACACCGCGAGAAGCGCGACCCGCGCCGACATCAGGCACTGCGCGCCAGCTCGTTATCGGCTAGCTCCCGTACTACACGGACGTACCCGAGGATCCCTCTTGGAGAGACTCGTCGCAAAACTTCGGGGGAGAGCGCCCTCGTCCCGTCTCTCTCTTTCTCGCGTCTCCCCGTGTCGCGCTGCTGAGCGCGCGCGCGCGCACCATGCATCGTCCGCCTCCCTTCTCTCGTCACCCACCCCTGATCATCCTCTTGGTACCTACTCTTTCCGTCCTCTCTCCTGCATCCCGTTTTCTACCCTCGTCTCTTTCTCTCTCTGGCTTGTTTATCTGTTCCTGATATCTCTTTGTCTCTCGTGCACGCGTTCGTCATCTTCTCTCTTTCCATCCTCGACTCCAACCGCTTTCATCCATCTCCCTTTCCTCTCCCCCATCTCCTCCCCCTATCGCTCTCGCCTCCGCGGGAAGAGATTTGTAGGGCGGACTCTTTCTCCTCGCGAAAATTGCGCCACCTGCGTTCTCGTCCTTGCACCCCTTGAGGAGGCGCGATTCCGAAAGAGGGGTACCAACAGGGTACGTTTGACAGCCAAGTCTCTCGTCGTCGTAATCATCGTCGCGACATCATCTGGCATTCAAGATTTTACATTTCTCCTTTGCGTATTTTGACAACAACGACAATGAGAGCAACGATGAGGACGACGATGACGACGACGACGACGATGGACGTCATTGAGCATGGTCGCCATCTTCGTTCTCGCGCCGCTCCCCATCCAGGGACGGCGGCTTCGAGCGCTTTCACCCCCCCCTTCTCCATGCGGCTCTTCCCCTTTCGCATCCTGCACCCTTCATCATCCCTTCCGTCCACCGTTACCCTCCTCGCTCACCCCCTTTCCCGTCTTCCTTTATTCCCTCGCTCTTTCTCTCTTTCTCCGACCTCTATCTCCTTTATACCCCAAGAATCGTACTAACCCCTTTCGTTCCTTTTCCTCTGTTTTCCCCCTCCAGCCTACTCTCGGCGCATACGGCGCTACACACACGATCGCCTTCCAACTTTTCTACTCTCTCCTTCCCCCGACATTCGAATCTAGCCCCCGTGGAGGGTTCTTCGCCAGCCTCTGTCTTCTTCTTTGTAATTACCCTCCCTTTCCTTCCATCGTCTTGCTTTTCCTCATCTCTTTCGTTGCCTCCCCCCGTTCGCTGCCAACTCGTCGACCCGCCCAACCGGCCCCAGTGCCGACGAACGCAGCGCTCGCCGAAAAAAAAAAAAGAGAGAAGAGAAACCGGCCCAAGTACGATCCTCGACTCTCTCGTGCGCGCGGCGCAGTATGGATTTGTGCTCGTTCCGAGATTCGTGCGACCGTCCGAACGACCCGAATATATCGGCGGCGGCGGCCACGGCCGCGCGCCGCGCCGCGCGTTATATACGCTTCGACTTCGATCGGCGTCGACGAGGTCGAGAGGCCGAGCCGAACCCGAGAGGGGTGAGGGAGAGAGAAAGAGAAAGAGGGAGAACAAGAGATCGGACCGCGCACAAGCTGGGCTGACTTTGCATTCGTCTCGGCTCGACTTCCGATTATGAGGACCGGTAGGATGCATCACCTTTCTCCGCGGCGCCCTCGAAGACTACCTCTTTGCTCCAGAATGGTGCTTCTTAGATTATAGAATTCTTGCGGAAGTATACGATAACGCTTATCAGCGAGTATTGTCGAAATGGCGAGATGCTTAGCATAATTTTATCGAGTATCGCGACTCGCAGAAAAATTGCGATACTTGTGAGATTGCTCTGAAATGATAGAAAATGATAAGGATCGTTATATGTATAATGATTAAAGATAATTGGTTTTTTTATACATATTTACGCATATATCTCTATGAAATCATGCAGTTTTATCGTATAAAGTAATCAATTTTAGAAAAAATATTATCATAATAATATATCAAGGCACAAAACATTTTCAAAACAACGAAAATTTCTTGTATTATTATTAATATAGTCGAAGTTTCATTTTCGACAATTTAACGACTTTATTATTCTCTCCAAGCATAAAATGATAATAAGCATTCTACTCATTATATATTTGAGAGAACTTTCCGCAAATATTGATTATTAGTTAGCTCGATCTTTCCTACAATGGAAAAAACTCGCATTTTTTCCATTATAATTTATTTACACAAATAAATTATTTCAGTTTACAGGTGCATATAGTGAAATAAATGAGAATAAAATATTGAAACTTGAGCTGACTTTCGACTTACATTTACAATGTTTCTTGTATTATTAAAAGAAAATGAAATTAAAACGCATATATGAAGAATAGTCTTTACGTGCACATCCTTTTGTGAAAACAGCTGCTCCATCCGACTATTTAAGTTTCGCAGACCAGCTAAGAGAAAGAGAGAGACAGAAAAAGACAGACTAGAGAGAAAGAGAGAGGGAAAGAGAGAAATAGAGACAGAAAGAACGGGAGAAAAAGTGATGTGTTGAAATGTTGCACGAATCAAGATTTAAATGAAATTTTGTACCCGCTCGTATAATATCATATCTTATTGTCTCTAATCCTTATTAATCCTATAATATTATAATATTAATATTTCATCATATTTTTGATATATCTTTGATTTCTGAGCTAATTAAATTTGATTAGCGATTAATTGATTAGCAGAGAAACTTTCACATTGTTAACCAAGTTAAAAAAATCTTATGTAAATATCTATAATGATTTTTATCTTTTACATTTTTCTACAATTTTTTAATAAAATCGTATATTTTGTAGCTCAGAAAGAGTAATCTTAAACAATTGTTACAACTATTAATTATTAGATTAAAAAATTTTAGTCATAAGTGTACAAACATATTACAAAATCACTATTTAATAAATAGAATGAGAATTATATAAGGCCATTTTTTCATTCTTGAAGTTCTTTGGGAAAAAAGAGATGGCTCTTTAGCAGATAAAAATAAATAATAAATCAATATCAAACATGCATTTAAGAAAAATTCTTTCTACATGAAAAACAACTTTCGGAACAGCATTAAATTCTTTCTTTCTGCATTAAATTTATTGAAAGATATCCGCATCATGTATTTAAATAACATTTTCTCCATTATCCTATTGTGTTTTTTTAAAATTATCTTATCTCATTATTATCATATTTATTATTTATTATATAAAGTGTTATTATCATATTTATTATTTATTATACAAGTTTTCCCTCGAGCATAAGAAAGTACAAAAGACAACAATATATCAACAAAAGCATAAATTATTCATAACAAGATCACATACACGCGCGAAGAAACCCTTAAATCCCAGTTGGAATTGGTGAACATGTTGCTCATCTCCACGAGTGTATTCTGGTGTTAATATGCTTAAAACTTTAGACTCTCTCGAACCATTTGGCGGAAGGTGCCGCCACCCCCGGGGATTATACCTCTAACAGAGAGAGGAGAGATCCAACGCGTTTTCCGCCTCGGGACAGCCTGCGCACGCACTGATGTCGGGCCTCCCTTTTTTCATGCAATACTTACTGACACGTACGTGTCACATGTACACGCACACATACACGTGCGTGCTGGCGCGCCGCCGCATCTCCCTCGATGGCCACGTTGCGTGCGCGACCCGTATTCTCAAGGTGGAAATGGAAGTTGCGCATGACCATGAGTGAAGAGAAATTTTCAGGAATCGATAATACGACCAGCTGTAGCGACGGGTTAGTCACGCAGATAGCCCGTCTCGTCTCGTCTTGTTGCTTGGTCCATCCACGGATGACCCCCGAAACCACCCTCTATCACTCTTCCCTTTCGGAGCGCCTCTTCCTGACGTACTCCTCGCGACAGCAATTATGATGCACATATACATTTCAAGCACGCGTCTTCAACGCCATAGAATAAAGAAATATATAAAATTCATATATTTCTTTTAGATGGAAAAACAAAATCTCTGGAGAGATTCTCAACATTTTCCGAGATATTGTTTTCCTCCTCAATTATTACAATCCACAGGTAACAATAAGAGTATCTGAATTCTGTTTCATGAATTAATAAATTCATATACAATTTCAATCGCGTGACGCTGTCCGCTTGCAAAAGTTATCAGTAATATCACGAAAAAAAGAAAAAGGACGTGTCGAGAGGACGATGTGATGGAGGAAGGAAGCCGTTGGAGAGTCGCATCAGGGTTGCTGTGATAGCGAAGGTGAAGAGGACCAGCTTCTCTTTCGGTCGTCGAAGAGACGATGAGGGGACGATGGGGGGACGATATGGGACGAGTAGCTTGGAACGACGTAAAACAGCACAGCCATCTCTTACCGCTCGTGTGTACACGTCTTGAGGCGAGGTACAAGAGGCAAGGACGCGAACAGTATTGTACCGTCACGTGCGACCACTTGCCGTCTGCAAAGTGTTAGCCTCGCTCTCAACGCTCCTCCCTCGACTGCGGTCCTGCCATCCTCCTCTTCTGTTATATCCGACTCGTCTTAAAAACGTCGATTGACTCGCTGTCACTTGCGGTCATTTTAATTTTCGAGTTACAAATTAATCGTGGAATTCGGAAAGTCTTCACAATTTTTATTATTTCTCTACTTAAAAATTTTCAAACTTGTAAGATTCTATCTTGAAAGATTCTAATTTCCGCTACTCTATCTTTGATTTTCAAAGTGATGGATATTTTTTTACAAAATATAATGATATATTTATAGATATATCTATAGATAGATCTATAATTTTAAAGAGATTATCTTTGTATTATAATTCGTAATTTTTTTTCGTTTTTATAGAGATCGCACTAGATAAATTTGACATTCTTGATATTCTTTTTTACAAATTCTTGCTATAATATTTATAGGTTGAATATCTTTATTTATTTTTTTAACTTTGTTTTTCTGTTATCGAGTATATCGCTTATCAATAAAGGCAGTAAGTCTTAGGTTGAGGCCGAGGAAGCATAGACTGTTTTTATTATATTTTTATCGTAAATATAAAATCTGTTTGAGTGAAAAGGATAAAGCTACTTAAGGGAACTCGCTATTTTTTTCTAATGAGCTATGAGAGAGAGAGATAGATTTGCCCCTCCTATTCTTTCGATAAAAGAAAAAAAAGACAATTTATTAGATATCGCTATCATTAGGTTTTTTGCAATGTCTGTGCTTCCTATGTCTCCCAACGAAGACAAATCATATATAATATGATAAAATATATAAATACATTTCATTTTTATTAATATATCTGTATCGTTAAACAATAAGATAATAGCAAATATTCTTGTGTCCCGATTTGGTAATTATAAAAACAAATAAAAATATTTTTCACGTACTGCTTATTTATATAGTGAATCTCTCCGAGCTATTTACACATCTTTTTACAAATTTTCAACTGCGTTACACCCTATTCACAGATAATTTTAGTTTAAACATATTGTTTTTACTTTTTCTGAAACTAAATCACGCGCGCGCACGTGTATATGCATGTGTGTGTATGTATTTTTATTATATAAATAATCAACAGGATTGTTCGACGAGTCTTCATAACGTTCATGAATACGAACTCTCGATTGAATCTCTATCAAAACATTCTAATAGTCATAAATGTTGACAGTGTTGATGTTTTTCTACATTTGACTTAAATGACATACAACTGTTTCACATTATCATAGTAATTTTTGTTTCCCTGTTTACATCGATGACAAATCGGATAGACAGACGGTATTTGATGGTAACAAAATTTATAGATAATTATCGATATATTGTATTGTATACAGCCCATTTTATATAAGTACTATTCTACCTTTTTTTATATAAAACAGTATATAGTTAGTTCACATATAGTTAATTAATTAGCATATATGTTAAATAACAATAAATTTTTCATAAAACTTAATATTAAAGATTCAACTTGATTAACTTGAAGTTAATATCTAAACTCGAAATTTATTTTGTTGTTCACAGTATTCTATGTCCTGCATTGAAAAAAATTCATATATTTTTAATCTTCGATTATTATATATTAACAGATAATATTTACAGAAAACGTCAAAACGAAACTATGTTCATCACTTTATAGTATCACCAGTATGTTCATCTCTTATCATTAACATAATCATTTATTTATAAGTATATAACAAATCATACTTATGTTTTGGTAATCAAATAAGAAGGAAAATACAAAATTTAGAATAAATTTAGAATATAAAAATCAAGTAGGCCATATATATGTATATAGTCACTAAATTATATATAGAATAAACAAAATAATATTATTAAATTGTGAATTAGAGTTAGCACACGCACACAGATACACACATACATACGCATGCATACACACATACAGTTCAACACAGTCTTACCATATTTATTGAAAATGATTTTAAGGATGAAAAGAAATAAAGCAAAATAAAACATATATAATATCTTTTCAATATAAGTAACAAATTTTTCACTAAGTTTCGCATAAATTCAATCTAAAATATAAAATATTTTCCTCGAAAAAGATTCGCAATTATATATAAAATAGAGTTATTGATCCATGATACGTCATTGCATATGGTATTCATCGCAAAAGAAATATGATGTAATTCAGATAAATACTAGACACATAAGTGCAAAAAGATATTTGGCATAAAGCAAAGTGGTAATATCATTATTTGAGAAAAATATAATGGAATTTGCCTATATTAAAAAATACTATCTATTTACCTACCTACTTTTGGATTATCCGTTTTCATTATCCTACATTGTTTCTATTATAACTCCGTGCACCATATTGAATCAATTTTTCTCCCAAGAAAAGAAAAAATCCTTTTCACGAATTTCGACTCGTAACGTATAATAATAATCATATAGTCAGGCCATTATGTAATGACATCGTTTCTATTTTGTGAATTACTGGCCAACGTCGTCACATTATCCGAAATTTCAACATGACAATCAGAATTTGACGTAGGGAGATCTGTCATGACCCCGCGTCGCGATTGTGCGATTTCAATAGATGCGGGAAATTCTTCAGCGCCCGTGTATAAACTTACTGTATGTGGATTAGTACTGCTATCCGAACGTTCTAACTCTTGTCGTTCACCTATAAATTGAAAAAAATTAATAGATTGTAAACATTATTTCATATAGCTGCATACGCGGGATATGTGTACAATCAGCGAGTGATCTCACCATTTATACTATGGCTATCGGATACCAGAAAATCACAAGCTACATTCATTGGTTCACTAGTCGTACTATTACCATTATCGGTAGTAACAAGCGATTGATCGGAATCAGAGTTACTATCGCTAGAATTATTAATATCCTGCCTAGCTTGTGATCTCCTGGCTCTATCAAAAGGATTCTCTCTCTGTTGCACGAACGTTCCTCCTTGTGTACCTAGAATATTTCTCTTCGAGTTATTCGTGATGTAGATGAATTACAAATCTGAATTATTTAATTCTAAAAGAAAAATATCTGTGTGCATACCTTGTTGGACGCGAATGAGGGGCGTTGTGTCATCAGCATCCGAATCACTTTCGTCGGTTACAACTTGTTCGTCAGCGGCAAAAACCTTTCTTTTGCAGACAGGACAAACCCTTCGATTTTTTGTCAACCATGGGTCAATACATTTTGAATGATAAGCTAAAATTTACAAACAAGGAAATAATGTAATAATTTATTATTTCAATATATTTCAGATTATATTAAGAAATATTTTGATTGATGAAATAAAATACCTTTGTTTCAATGTTATATAATTAAATTATATAATTAAATTAATAATCTTTGTTAATAAGAAATATTTACCATGTGCACATGGTAAAACTCGTAACTTCTCTCCTTCCACATAATCGTCCAAACAAATAGCACATGTCTCATATGGATCACCCTTTGTATACTTATGTATAGGAATCTTTTTTAAACTAGAATTAGGTAATCTATGCCTCCGTTGTCGCCTTCTATCTTTTATACATCTAACAATCTGTGCAATATAAATAATACATATGGTATAGGTAATCAGTATTGTAGCAAAATAACATATTATGCAAAATTTGAATGTATCACATCTGTAACTTACCATAAAAATAACAATGATTAGAAAACATATTCCAACAACGATAGCAAAGGGCAAGAGTAAATGTGTATTGATATTGAATGGCAGATCATCGTTAATCAATAGAAAATATGATTGGTCATATAAATAATTTTCTTTGATAACTAATCCTGTAACATCACCAACAAATACAGCTGGTATAGAAATTCCTGTATTATCCTTTGCTGACATTGGTTCTGGAATCAATTTTAATAGATAACATTTTATATAAATAGATAACATTTTTATAATTATATAATATTCATCTAATTTACCTAATTCATTGCTGTTTACATTATGTACAATAACAGCATTGTATTTAGCTTTTTGCGCATTTCGAACTTTCACTTCAAAACTACAGTTATAACGTCGTATTAAAACTATCCAATTACCATGGTAATCAGTATTATTAGGTGGACCTTGTATCTCTTGACATGCATTGGCAGGATTGGCATAAACTGCCATACCCTAATAAAATTATAAAAAATATATACATATATATGTGTAATAAAATTTATATCATAAAAAAATTAAAGAAATATACCTTAATTCCTTCTGATGGTATTATACCTCCAAATTTGGCAGGCATATCGCGAAATTCTTCTTCAATTTGATGTCTTGCCATTGCAGAAAATACTAAAATGTCTGCACTGCTGTATGTAGCATACAGAATCAGAAACATAAGCCATAATAGGACTTGGTGATTTAAACAACACTGTCGCATCTTGAACCAGTTTAAGCATCCAGCTTTTTATCAATTTTAGTATTTTATTAAAACTTTTCTTAAACAATTCATTATATAATTGTCAAATCTACTATGGAAAATGCATCCAAAGTAGATAAAAGCATATTGTAAAAAGTATAGTTGAGATCTATTCTAGAAAGACAAATATGTTCCATCTTATTTCTCAAATATTTTGCTGCGCAATTTCGGATTAGATTCTTAATTTGTAATTATCACATGAAAATAAATCCTTATGTACTAAATTCAAGCTTCGAGTTACTCATACACAATAGATAGTGACACATATTACTCATGATTTGTGATATGATATGTACATATAGTCAAAACAAACAAACAAGTTTTAAACAATTTAGCTTCATGTACATAATTTCACGTATTTTTCAACAACCTTAAGATCTCGAGATAAAGCATTATTAGCGCGATTCTCAAATGACAGTTGTAAAAATTGATCTTCACCCAGCCAAGAAAAACACTTCAATTATCCGAGTTAACGAAACGACGTAGTAATACGTAGTAACACCTGTTGTTGCTGTTTCCTTTGTGAAATGGCTCCCATGAATGATCTCGGGATATTGACACGAGCCCCCTCGGATAAGAGAACGTCGCGATAACATTCGCTATAGTAGTTTATTACATTAATTAAACGCGATGAGTAACGTGACGCGACGCGCGTGTGTGTTTGTGCAGCGGGTCAACACACAACCGATTAACCGTGCGTTATATCACGACCACGCACTGCTGTTATCAAACGACGCATTACATGGAGTCGCGTACAATTTTTGGAGCAACTCATTAATTCGTCATTAATAAGGATACGGGTGATATACGTACTTGAAAATTGTATACACGACTCTCATTCAGACGAGGCTATTAGTCATGGTCGTGTCGCGTATGTTCCTCGACTGGCCATTAACATAAAGATGACACCTCCGACAATTATCTTTTTGTCTCTCTTTCTTTCTTTCTCGACTCGGAAATATCCCTCTTTCCCGAGAGAGTGTTTTTACACTCGATAAATGCGACCACTTGACAAGAGAGATGAGACGCGTACATTCACAACGAAAATGTCACGACCGGACGTTCGGTTTTTAGGTTAGGTATATTCTCTTCCCAACTAATGTCATCGAACGACGAACGCGAACGACGACGATACAACGACTGGCAGACGTTAATCGGAATAGTTTGTTTTTTGTTTGCCAGGTCAATGTCAGCTGAAGATCGTAATCACCTGGCGGATAAAGCAAACTGTCAATCGCCTGACTGTCACTACTAATGATACGTGCATAAAAATGCCTAGAACTGCGTAGGATGCGACCAATCGCATGCGTGCGTAGGCGAGGCGTATTTAAACTGTTTTGCAGCGCTTTGAATTATGACTAAGATTCCGGATATCATCGACGGAATTTATTAGACAACCCAACCAAGTTACGTGACTATCAAATGGATAGTCATGATAGCTCTGGGAATAATTGTTAACTAACAATCGCAATACACATCACTTGTATTGTAATAAATATAGATGATTTATAGATAATGTAGATAAATTAAATAAATATATAAGTATAGATATAAATAAATATACGACTCAATTTTTTTGTAGTCATAAAAGAAAAATGTGTGGATTTATAATGTACAATATATACTTATAATAATTATAATAATAATGTGTCAAATATTATTTGTCAAAGGAACAATGTAGACTCAAAAAAGTATCGTGTGATATTTCCAAATATTGTGATAAAAAAATATATAGTAGTTTCTGACATGTGAAAAGACCTATTTTTTATGTTGTTTTTATTAAGTCAGACAAAATTACTCTAACGACGATTCAAAGAGAGAATCAATGACGAAAATATGCGAAGAATAATTGTAAAATGATGACATGCACATACCTGGCAATGTACATACCTGACTATGCATTACATTTTTGTTGCATTTCTACGGGAAAATGAAGACCAGAAGAAGTATCCGAAGAGAGGATTTTGGATCACTCACAAAAGCGGATCGGCGACACTGAAAAATCGACATACAATAATTGTACACGATATGTATTTAATACACGTTACAACAAAATCGTGCGTCGACACTTTACAAAACCCGTCGCGATAATTTCTACGAGAGAATCCGAGAAACGCGGAGCAATTCGGACGCGGCGCAATTGACTGCGATTTGAAACTGTCGGCCATTTTAATATTGCGATTTTCAAAGTATCGAAGTAGCGTCATTCTTCGGCGTACTTCGCTGAAATCATTTTTTCACCTACGTATTATTTCATTATTTCTCTTACCCTTTGTTGAAAAATTACGTAATCGAAGAGTAAAATAGAAAAATAATTATTCTCAATCTCTTATCTTAATTGTAGAAAGATGACATATATATAATATGTATGATCACTAATATATATGAATAATATAAATATGAATAATATAAATAATATTATGATAATGTTATAAATAATATGATTTATAATTAACATGAATATGAGTTTAAGCTTTGAAATATTCATAAATTTACCTCAATTATCTCAAGGCATCGATAATTTTATGTATGCGTTTCTAAAAATACACACCTGAATATTACACTTTTGCTGCATCTGAATGAGAAAATGACGGCGCAGTTTACGAGGAAAATTCACTTTTAACTTACTTTTAACTAATAACAATCGCGAAAAACACAAAATAATTCGGACGCGATGTTACGAGTTGCTGAAATGCGTTCGCGAACTGAAGACGCTTGAAACTGTCGATCATTTTGATATTTCGAGAATCGCAATATCGAAAATGGTTTGACATATAATTATATACAGAGAGAAAACTGAGAGATGTCACTGCCTGCTTTTAGGTGATCCCTGAAAGCGATACTCCCTCTATGGACATTGAAAACGTGGACATGAACTACAAAGCCAAAGTCCATGAATATTCTCAAAGGGTATCATGTGCACAATTTCTGATTTCGTTCCGTGCTATATGCACGAAATGTCGGTAACACCAGAGTATAACAAGACACTCATGTATATAAATTGATAGTAAATAAATTATGCAATCGTGAACATGCAACACAAAATGCCTGCTGTGGAATAAAAACATTTTTAACCGTTATTTCTATAAATCTTAATTAGCAATAAATTGATCTTTGATATTTATTAATCACTTTTTTAATTATTTAAAAAAGTTATTATATTATTAATTATTTACTTATTTATTTATTACTTATTTAATTATTAATACATGTATAGAATTTGTCAAATTAATCACTGATTTTTCTAAAGTTTTTATAATTAAGATTCGAAAAATATAGTTGCAAAATATTTTAAATATCTCTTCCTTTATATAAAATATAAAGAATTCATATGTTCCATTCTAATATAGTCGACATTATTTATATACTTTTATTATAATTTTCTTACCAGCATAATATTTTTATGCTTAATATTTTATATAATACAATGTACTAAATTATAAAATTTAATATAATCACAAAATAGTATTACTATTAATAAATAGGTTGTATTCATACTGTCTTTTAATTTCTAATCATTTCCAATCATTATGCATTTCTATTATTTATTTCTATTATCTATGATTTTCTTCTTCGAGTTTTTGGATTATTATGGTTTATTGTATATTCCTTGGTGTTAAAATCATAGGGATTATCATCATTTGTCATGCTTATTCCTTCCTATGGAGTCCATCGAAATATTTTCTATGGACATTTGTTCTTTCGAGTATAGATATTCAAATCACTCAGAGAGAGAGAGAAAGAGAGAAAGAGGAGGAGAAAGGGTTTGAGATATTCAAATCACTGTAGTTGTCTTTTTTCTATTTTCTCAATTACTATCTCTTTTTCTTTCATTTTATTCAAAAATATTAATATAATTAAAAATAACATATATATGTATATATATATATATATATATATATATATATAATTTTGACATATATATATATATATATATATATACATAATTTTAATTATATATATAATTTTGATATCTTTCTTAGTCTGACTCTTTCCCTTCGACTTGTCCGGCATAGGTAACCCTATCTAAGGCCGGCATTCATAATTCATTCTTATATTTAAAATCGTCTTAAGTAAGTTGGAAAATACAACTATTTTACTAACTGATCGGAATCTCAAGACGCGATATAAGATCAGACTTAAGATTATTTTAAATATAAAAATAGTCTACATATATGAATATCGGCGTATTATACGTTACTGCCGGCATAGCTCTTAGGTTCATTAGAGCACTCAAATCTCATCCGGCAAATGCCTCTGTAAGGTGGAGATACAAAGAAAAAAATTTTTTTTAATTTTATTTTTATTTTCTTTCAATACAGGGATTAATACAAAAGTGAATGTAAAATATAATTTGAAACTTAATACAAAATAATTTTTATTTATTACATGGAATAATTTAATACACGAAAATGTCTCTAAAATATACGTATAATATAAAATTTACTAAAAATTTTTATATAGTCCAGACAATCCCGATTAGCGATGATTAATTATGCAATATTTATCATTAACAATCGATATGCGATAATAGAATTTAATAAGTTTTATGTAACGTAAATATATATAATCGTGATTAAAAGAGTCATTAATAAAATTATTGAACATTTCTTCGATTGTAGAAGAAAATATTTGCATTACTAGCGCATTTTGCGTAGATTATCAAAGGAAATATTCAAAATACGAAAAAATAAAATAAGCTTCAATGTAAATCAACAATTAAATTACAAAATAAATCGCGATTTAAAATTCGCGAGAAAACGCGAATAAATAAATCGATAATAATAAGAATATTCGATTAGAAATATACGTATAATTTTTATAATATGATAATCAATACTATTAATAGATACGCGCGCGACATAATTATTATCACACAAATGATGATACACAAGATATTTTGATAAATATTTGTGGTCCGTATTGTTTATGAACAATTATTACTTTAATGATATTTATAGAATAAAATATAATTCCCGCGACGCTTTATCTCGTTCTATTTTTCAATTATTTAAAATTTAATTATTTAATTTAGAATCAAAACGCATGAAAGCAAAACAATCGAACCATAAATCGAAATAATTAACATAATAAAAAGCTTTGCAATACATCAAATTAACAAATATTATTTAATTAATCCATCTAAAACTTTTAGACACTTTAACATTTCGTGTATATGTTAAAGTACGTAAAATATATCAGCAGTGAATGGATAATAACACGATCGGCAGGATAATAACACGATCCGCCTTGGCGGCGTATGACGCGCTGTGTTTACATGTACGGTCTTCATATCATTCACACGGCAACATTCGAAGAGTAAGGTGCGAAATATTTCGTATATTATTAAATTTCTTCTTTAACGATAAAATTATGACTAGTATTAAAACATAATTCGCTATGATAATTATAATTAGTACTTGCTAAACTTTTAATTGTAATTACTACGCGATCAGGAATACCGTGCAAAATGTCTCGCGATTTTCGCGTATACTAATATTAATTAACTAATCTTAATTAATCTTGTTTTCAGGAGTGAAAGTGAGTGCAACGAAAAAATAGCGAAGGAAAGGAAAAGCAAGTCTAAAAAGCACTGGGCCACGTATTAAGCAACATTATCCGGTAAATAGTTTATAAATTATTTATCATTTATATTTATCATTTATATTCAGATATATATATATATATATATATATATATATATGTCATTTATATTCAGATCATATATCATTTCTTATATTCATTTCTTATATTCAGATATAATCATTTAATTAATCTATAAATATAAAAACTTCTACAATTTAATATTTTGCGTTACAATCAAACAACTAAACTTCAAATTTTTTTAAAATGTGAACATAAATTAATTATTAATTAAATGACTACTATCACAACTTTATTTATTATTTTAATATTTTCATTTTTATAATTCGTATATTATACAGCATATAATATGCGTATCAGTAGCATACGCATTGCTGTAGCAAGTAGCGAATGATTTTAATCTCGTGTAAAGGTCATGTTGCTTTTTTATCATTTAAGTGCGTATATAAGTTTCGTATGATTATTTTGTATGATTATTGAGAGTCTCGTGCAAAGTGCGCCACGTATTTGATTAATTATAATTAAATCGTGTTTTCGTGAGTGAGTGAATGCCACAAAGAGAAATAACGAAAGATACATAAGAGAAGAAAGGAAGTTTGGAACGTACGGAGTAAAATGAAGTAACATGAAGTAAAACAATCGAATAATATATGCAAATAATTAGCATAACGAAAGGCCCCGTGACAAATTGTTTAATAA